TTCCTCTCGTGTGGACTCTGTCGTTTCCGTCTCTTATCGTTAAATGGTTATTTTGTAATGATATCTGTCTCCTTATTAAAGAAACAAGCTGAAAGGAGCCCTGGTTCCCTTCTGGTCTTGCTGCTGGGTCTCAGCGGGGTCTGGGGGGGGGGGCAGGTCCCAGGTCTCTGAGCCCAGGGACGATGGAGGGATGGAGGCGCAGGGGAACCCTGCGAGGGCCCAGGTCCCCCCGAAACACGAGTGTGCTCACATGCATGGTGGAGATGTCTCCAGGCAGCCTTGAGCCCCAGTGCCCTGGCTGATCGTGGCTGGCCCAGACGTGGGGTGCAGGTGGGAAGATATCAAAGGTCCCCACCGAATTCTTCACGCCCAACACATACAGTTTGGTCCATATATTCATTTTAGGTCCTGCCCTGCTTTGCAGAGGTGCTGGATGCCCCTAAACCCAAGGGGAAGAGCTCAAGCTGCAGTAACCACCTCCGAAGACTGAAGTATGCAGAGATTTCTAGCAACTCACTTGGGACAAAGGCTCTAAGACGTGGCACCACTGTCCATGGCTTTGCTCCTGAGCAAAGCCAATATAGGGCTGGGCATCATGGGGGGAGATGGGCCTGAACCCCGTTGTGGTTCAGAGGCATCAGATGGGACCCTCTCCCGTTCACCTTCCTGGCTGGTGGGTGGCTTTCAGGGACGTGCATCCACAGTTCCTTCATTTGAGCTTTCCCTGAACAGGCATGCAGGGGAGCGTTGCCTTTCCTGTGTTGTAACTGCAGCAGGTACGTAGCTGCAGAGCTTTTGTGCTTTTATTGATACTGTTGTGCTATGGGAATTTTGGGAGAAACAGGGCATTTTAGGCTAAACAACTTGCAGCAGCTTCCCAGGCTCCAGAAAGATGGAAGCAAAGTCAAAGCTTCTATTTTATCAACTCTTATTTTATTCATTTATAAATACTGTTGTGTTTACAAGCATCATAGATGTGAATATTATTCCCAAACTTTCAAACACATAATACTTATAATACTATATAACAACAACCAGTAAAACAAATAATTCATCTCAGGGTTTGAAAGGCCACTCAAAAGTTGCATAAAAATACATTCTCTCCCCATCTCGTAAGCTAGTCCTGCTTCTCCAAGGAGTTTATTTACAAAGAGCCATCATCAAACTCACAGCCACAATAGGCGGGTTCACCCCAAGCAATAAAAATGAATTCACCCCAAGCAATTGCTTAGAAAAAAAGCTTGTGTTCTCCAATGGAGATCACGTCTGGCAAATGCTCTGGTTCAAATAGGGATCAGTTTTAAAAACTGCTTGCTTTGCACTCTGTCCCAAGCGCAGAGTGCAAGGTGTCCTATTTGTTACCTCCTCAGTGCACTGGTTATGTCAGGCATTAAGTGAGACCAAAAAAATTCATTCTCAAGAATTTGGTTTGCAATTGCATTGTCATCATGAAACACTCACAGCTTTGGCTAGTCAGCAAGATTAAACCGGTGGCGGGTCCTCTACCCTAGTCAGAGTTCAGGGGGATAATCCAGTGCTAAGCAGACACTTCATCTAAAGTGGTTTGGCTTTGCAAGGTGCCACGCAGAGGAATTAAGCCTTCTGCACCCTTTGCATACTGTTCCTCAGGATAAAATGCAACGAGTGTCCTGGTAGGAAGGGGCAAAACGTCAGTGCAGGATGGATTTGTCAGATTGGGTTGAACCCCCTCCCTAAAACAGATACCAGGCTTCTTCACGCTGCCAGGAACCTGCCTCGTGAGAAGAACAGGATCTTTAGTCTGAAATCTCGTCCCTCGTCCTGCTGGGATGCACGACTTGAGACGCCAGCGCCGCGCCAACCACCAGCAGCCCCAGCAGGTGAGTATTTTCTTCTCCGCATGGCACAGAAGGGACTGGACTCCTGTTTAGAGCTGAGAGAGCCCAAGTCTGAAGCGAGGAGTGGGTCACCAAGAGAAAAAACATCAAGAACTGCAGAAGTACTCACATAAAGAGTGCACCAAGTGGGAACGGCGTGCAGAAAAAGCATTGACCGGATCTCAAGACTTAAAGCTGTTAAATATAGCAGGGTTAAAATAAAGTAATATAAAAAGGATGCCCGGCTTAGGCAGTGCTCTGCAGAAACCCTGATGCCATTACCAGCTTTGGTCTCTTCCTCCCCAAAGCACAGCAGCAGAGGAAGGGCCTCAGTGTACCAGGAAAAACGGCATCTTATGCCGTGCACAAACAGCTCCGCTGGCTGAAGAGCGGAGGAAGAGGAACCTCTGCCCAGAGCTGCCTGGAGAAAAACCGGCAGCTCTAGGAAGAGCTAGAGAGGTGGAAACAGGCAGGACGGGGAGGGGAAAGGGAAAAAATGGAGAATTAGAAAAAAAAGAAACCCAAAGAAAAAAACCCAAGAGAGAGGAAAATCAACACGCTTTCTGAAGCAATAACCAGCAAAAGGTTCCAAAAAGCCCAGGATTGACTGACAGAGATAAATTTTACCCTGTTGAGCAAGCTCAAGAATTATGCTCATGTTCAAGTATCTCACCTATCTCTCTCATAGCGGAAAGAGTCCCACCAGCCCAGTGGGAGCCGCAAGCCCACAGTCAGCAGAAGTGCCCGGGAACATCGGTGGAACTTCATGGCAACTTCCAAGTTCAATGACTGAGACTGCAACTCTCAACCAGACGGAGCAGGGAAATCAAAGGACAAAGGAAATGAAAGGATGTAGATGGGAAAGTGGTTTGGATACCATGCAAGACGTCTCTGAGAGGGAAGGTATCGTTCGAGAGGAGTCTATTAAGGGGAAGCTCAACACATCTGATGACAGGTTACTGCTGCTATCAACAAAATCACACAGCACATAGAGGAGCCACTGTCTAAATGCCCAAAGAGAGAACAATTTCAAACTGTTCTGAATATGTGTAACATTAGAGAGGTTTTTTTGAGGTTTCCTTCAAGGTCAAGGCTTATTGCAAACTTTTGACAGATTAAAAGACTTCCATCCTAGCGATACAGTTACCAGCACGCCCAAGGTAGCTCCTTGTCCCCCTGACACCAATGCACTCACACCTTTCCAAGGTATGCGGGAGGACAAGCGATCACTGCTTCATGCTCCTCTGCCTTGAAACCCAGCTGCGTCAAGCTTCTTCACCAACAGATGGGTGGGTAGGACTGGACTCTGGCATTCCCTCTCTCTACAAACCAACCAGTGCTGCCTTTCACTTGGTCAGCTTCCTGCTGCAAATCAAAGCAAGGTACCTGAATACTCCTCTACAGGGCTCTGCCTCCATGAAGATAGCAGGAAAATGTATCAGACGGCTGCTAGGACAGGGAGGCTGCTTTCTGCACCAGCTCCCTGCAAGCTGATTCACATGTTAATGATGCATGTGAAATGATTCATATGCATGTGAAAGCAGCAGAGGATCTCTAGGGGTTCAAGCTTGTCCTTCAGAAAGCTTGGCAAGTATCTGTAATACATCCTATCCTGAGGAGCAAGAGTCCAGATGCAATTAGCAGATGCTACTAAATACCGAGACAGGAGCCCTGGAAGGATACATGATACCAAATCACCCAGGCTGCAGAGAAAAGGCAGGGTGAGGGGTAAGGGGTCTGACACCGACAGTCAGTGCTGATGTTACTGAACAGGTTCAAAATCTTATATTAAATAAAAGACTCGGTCTACTGGGGCGAAAGGAGAAGAAGGTCTCTGTGCAAAGCAGCTGTCATCAGCCTGTTACAGAAATCAGCCCTGGTGGCTTTCACAGCATCACATTTTAACCAGAGTCCCACATCTCGTGTGGGTTGATGAGCACCCTCAGAGTCCCAGCCATGTTCACATTTCCCACCTGCAAAGGGCTTGGATGTGCTGGATTAGTTCTTTAGGCGTCACTTTTTAAAGTAGGAGCTACCTACTCCAGATCGGAGTCCAACACCATATACTGGGCTTCTGGATGAAGAAGTTTTGGCAGCTTAAACCCAGTCCTCACATTTCTCTTCTCCCTTGAATAAAATGTCCGAGATACCACAACATGCTTAAATTAAAAATAATAAAATGGCAGGGGTGTGTGTTGTGGGAGAAATAAGGGCAGAAAGGGAATATACAGCAAAGGGCAGGGCAAGGCAGGTGTGACAGATTGATCCCATGGCTGAAATGCTTGCTGTACTTTTGACAGGAGGATAAGAGCAGGGTAGGACTTGGTGGCAGGGTTGGCAGCTCCCTCTTCGTCCTGCCTTTGCTCCGGCTTCCTATTTGGAGAGCTTGCTGATGACACGAATGAGGGCTCCGTTCTCGTCCTTCAGCCTTTGGTTGTCCGACTTCAGCTCTGTCAAAATCTGCAGAGACAAAGAGAAAGTGGGATTACAACTCGGCGCTGCCAGCTGGACGAGGCCTACGGCTTAGAGGGAACAGCAGGGACCTGGCATCCCCGTGGCCAGGGCAGCAGCTGGATGCTTGGCTTGTGTCCTTCTCACCACTGATGTGCCACAGCAGCATGCAGAGCTTTCCTTACTGTACACCCTCCACCCAGCGCACTTTTAATGTCCATAGTTTCTCTGTAACATCTCCGGGATTTTTACAAACTGGGCATCAAGTGTGGGGGGGTCGAGAGGGGACTCGAGCACAGCACAGAGCCAGGGAGCTCCCAGAGCTGGGAGAGCCCGTGGCGAGAAGCGATGCCATGGCCCCAGCACGAGGTCAGGACCAGGCTGGGAGGGCAGGAACCATTTCTGGGCTGTTTCATCCCAAACCTGTTCCCAGAGGCTATATAGGGCTTGGCAGAAAACTATAAAGCTGTTTTTTATGATTTGTTTTTTCCATTTTACCAGGACTAGAGGGGAAAACAAAGGTTTGAAATTTTCATTTAGGACTGGACCAAGCCTGGCTTGCAGAATCTCTTTAGAATAAACCCAAATCTCCTTGGGATCCCATAAATGTTTAATGCAAACACGCATGCCACAGCCAGAGGACTGGTAGAACGTACTGACACTGGAGGTACCTCCTCTGCTCAGTGTTTAAGGCTGGAGCTCAACCAGAGGTTGCAACACAGACAAAAGCCAGAGAATTTCTAATTGGAAATGGAGGAACAAATAGCTTCGACAAGACCTTTCCAGCATTTCTCACTGGCAAAAAACCCTCCTGACTCCCCTTGCTTCCCACCCTGCAGGCAGGTGACCTTCAGTGGAGTGTCCCCAGCCGTTCAGGGACTGGAAGGGGACTGGTGTGACCGCCTTCTGGAAGCAGCCAGGGTGGAGCGGGGTCACATGCAGGCACGAACGGCACCAGTATGAGCTCAGCGATGACTTGAGGAGGATCTTAGAGGAATTCCCCCAAATTCAAAATCCCCACTAAACCTTCTCCTTCCTCCTAAGCTGGAGTTTCAGCTCTGACCACAACCTCCTGCCCGTTCCTCTCATCTCCAGCCCCTCCACGACCACCACCACCACCGAGCGCAGGCAGCTCCCGGGGCAGACGCCAGCTCCCACCGCTCCTGCTCGAGCAATTCCCTCCTTCCGCAGTCAGGCCAAGCCATGCCTGGCCCCAACGCGCCCAGCCCCGTCCCCGCTGGCACTGGTGGTGGGTGCTCCAGACGGAGGTTTTGCAAGAGAGAGAGGAAGGGGAAAGTGCAGCTTGGCGGGATAGGGTAAAAGGTAAGGTAAAACTATGGGATGGGCTGGCCAGAGCTTCAGCTAGGGATGCTTACAAGTGTCTACTGGACCTAGTGGTGGTGCAACAGGGACATGTCCATGACAGGGCTGTCACCAGAACAGCAGTCATGACTCCTTATGCAATTTGTCACGGCCAAATGAGAAGCACTGCCCATCACCAAAGTGCTCGGGAGCCCAGAGAAACGGGAAGAGCACTCGCTGTCTCACTCTGCACTCCTCCGTTTCCTCCTGAGCTTCATCTAACACCCACAACACAGCACGGTGCCTTCCAGTCCAGTGCACTGCAGCAGTTCAACCACCTGGGGTCTGGAGATGGACAGTCCCTGTCCTCTCCGTCACTGCTTGGGGTGGCCTTGCAATCTTGAATGTGTCCCTCACTGCAATGAGGCAGTGATATGAAGATCTGCCACTTGCTTTGGTAGAGATAATTTGTCACAGGTTCCCAGAAGCAACACCAGAGAACAACCATCCCGGTTCTACAGCTTACTGGAAGCTCTGGTGGTGGCTACGCCTTACACACATGCTTCAATGCAACTTTAGTGATTTATTTGAAAAGGAAGGAGCACAAGTACATGTAAACTTGAAAAGTTTCCCGGCTGTAACCCCGCTCCGTCAGCTTCCAGTGAAGATTTCTGAAAACTAAAAATCAGCCTCATAAAATTTCGTTCCTCCCAGGCCAGGGGAGGTTCCTCCCTTGGAAGCAAACCAGCCTCAAGTCGGGTAAAATAAACTGCACGTGAAGCAGGCTGGTAATGCAGGGGCCTGAAAACTGAAGCTTTATAAATGTCTCGTTGGAAATGGTAAGGAGGGATGCAGCACAGCCCGCAGGGACGGTGAAGCTGACCGTGATGCAGAGTCGGCGTAAAGTGAGTTTTGGGCTAGAGGCTGGTCCGAGCAGCAGTGCTGTGTGTTACCTGTGACACCAGAGAAGGTGGCACTTCAGAAATTACGTGGATTTTGGAAAATGAGATTCTTTGAAAAGCACCACTGCTGCAAGAGCATGGTAAATCTGTCAGCGTTTAAAACAGTGACATTACTGTACAGCTGTGATGTCTACAGACACCAGTGAGACAAGGTTTACAGGTATCAGCAACATCCTGTGTTAGACCTACTAGAAGAGTTGAAAAAAAATCAGCAGAGTTTGCAGACACGTGGCTCTTCTCCAGCTCGGACATCTGCAGTGAATTGCAAACCTATACGCAAGCTGGGAAGGATCAGTCCACCCATGTCTCAGCCAGCCGGCACGAGAGACAAGGCACGTCAGAGTAGAGGGGTGTTAGCAGGGGGAAAGCGATAATGCGAGTATTTCCTACGAGAAGGGAGAGACTGGTGACTTACAGTTCGTGAAACATTATTTCTCTGAGTCTGGAAATAGTTTTGCTCAATTTTCCCTCTCAGATCTCAAAGCACGTTGGGAAGGAGAATGACTTAAACTCACCGCTTGTGAGAAGGAATGAGTCAGTGACAGGTTCGAGAATACTTTTGCAGATTTAAACCAGAAAGACGGTGAGATCATTCAGTCTGACCATCTGCACAATTCAGGCCACGTAACATGAAACACCCCCTCTCTCAGCCCCTGTGATACACGTGTGGTCTTGAACTGAGACTCCTGGAAAGGGGCAGCCACAATTCCCCTGATTAGTTTGTTTCTACGCTTAATCATCCTTGATATAATTTGTGTGCTAAGAATAGATTTTTTTTATACCTTAGTGCCACTTTAGCCCACGAGAGCATACTGCTTCTTCCTTGCTTTAAAAAAAAAAGCTATGTCTGAAGGGATCTGAATATCCCTACTAACCTGCAAAAGACAGGTAGGGCCCTAGGAAAGAAACATTTACAGCTTTATTTTAGCACCGAACCAATGAAGTAGCAAGAAAGGATGTAATTTAACTGTGTGATGTGCGAGGGCAAACCTTACGGAAGGCTCGTCCTTGGATTTCAAGCACTAATTGCTCTGCGCTGAATTTAAAACAAAAGACAAAAAAAGAAAACGCACCTGGTCCGGCTCCTATTGCTTCACCTGCCGTGTAGCCAGACCGCAGGAGGCAGAGGGAATGCTGCAGCCTGTGAACTCGGACTCAAAAGTCTCTGTTTAAAATGAGGGAAGCAGCTTGTCTTCTTTGCTCAAGTGACCAAGAAAACCTGCTGACGACTGCCCAGTTGTAGGTTTTCTAAAAATCACCCTCCTGTCTAAAATGTGCATAACACCCCTAGAAATTTATTACATTGTTCATTCTGACTTTGGGTAATCTTATTTGCTGGGTGCCGGCTTCTCACTGAACTAAGTCCAATTAAAAAAGTATTATATTATGAGCAGACACACAGCATAAAACACCTGTTTCAAGGTAAGGTAGTGGGGAAGGGGCTGCTGGCTAACCCGTTGGCACTGACAAGCCACCCCAAAGCCATCTGCCAGTGTTAAGCCACAGGGAAGCAGCTGATCCCTCACTCCTCAGTAGCCATCTCAGTGCCATCCACCCAGCCCTACGCTCTCACGTCAAGGCATGGAGCACGTCCTCCTCTTTCTCTCCCAGATGATGGGCTCCACGTGGACAAGGCAACCCCCCGATGCGGTCGGTTAGTAAAACGGCGAGGTCAGCATCATCTGCCAAGCACAGCGAAAGTCAGCAGGACTGAACAGAGCCTCCAGCGAAACCCTGCCTTCAGCCGGGCAGCAACACCATGCTTTTGGCTTTCGGAGGATCCTTTGCCACATGCTGCTTTTGAGCCACAAGCTTCATCAGAGACCCTTGAGAGCAACGAGGTGAGGGGGAAAAGCCCGGCCAAGGGAGCGGAGACCTGCCTGGAAGAGTGGAAGAGGGAGGCGAGATGAGCCGGAGGGAAAGCAGCTACAGCTCCTCTGATTCGGAGGGCTTGGCAGGCAGAGAAAGTCTGGCTACGACCCGGGTCAGAGCCCTGTTTTCAGCCAGAAGTTGCTCATTCATCTGCCTCAGAGTGTGAATCTGTTTGAGCTGGTGGAGATTCTGCGGAGAGTGAGAGGAGTGGACAGAAAAATACAAAGAAAACACACCACGAAGACAAAACGGCACAGAAATGTGAATTTAGTCCACAAGCACCAAAAGAGAAAAAGAGAATAAAAGAAAAAATAGTAGCAGTGAGTGCTGGATGGGCAGCAGCTCAGATGCTTATGGGGAAAGCCTTACAACACACTGAGGATGTTTTGCGAACCATCCCTTTCTCCAGGGGCCCCCAACGCCTTAAAAAGGTCAAATAAAGGGATTGCCTACCACAAAGCAGGACAGTCTCCTGCAGGTTATGTTCTAGTTTACCCAGACAGCGAGCTCCGTCAGCACACAGCCCCTGGACTTACAAACTACTGTCAGAACTATCACCATTGACTTACCACCTACGCAGGCTTTGAAAACACTGCTGGCAACTGAGAATTTCTTTAAAACTCCTTTTCTTCATGTATCTCTAAAAGCTAAAGCAGTCTTGTGCAGCAAAGAGTGAACGGAGCTTCATGGGAGATTTTAAAGGCACAGACTGAAGCATCCGAAAGCGTCACTGTCCTACAGCAGACCACCGAGACACGTACCGCGTCTGCTCGCATCCCTCGTCCCTGCGGCACCTGAATGAAGGCTCTTGGGTCTGCTCAGGCTTCAGTCCTGCCAAAAGGTCTGGCACATGTGTGGGTTTTTCAACCCTGCCCAGATTCAACTCTTCTCTGTCGCGGGGCTCAATTTATCTCTGATCTCCAGAGGTGAAAAGTCAGAACCTTAAACCGCTCATTTTAGCTAGAGGAGTTTGAATGACAGCATCTGACACAGGAGGCACGTGAAAACATGGCATTCTTGGTTACAAAAGAAACACGTGGGCAAAGGACGGTGTAGAAATCGAGCCCCAAAGCTGGGGCTAGCACAGGTATAGCAGCCACAGGAAGATACAGAACATAAAAGCAATGAGGAAGGCAATAGGGGAAAATGGTAAAAGCCATGCAGACATCACCATTTCTATAAGGACGACATTTTTCCCAGTGATGCTAAAGCGAAACCACGTGCTGGACATTTATACCAAGCGCGGGTGCCAGGACATGCTGAGGGCTGCAGAGCTGCTTTCTGAGCAGCGTCCCGTCCCTCCGTCCTCCCGACAGCTTGTCGGGCAGCGGGACCACAGGAATGAGAAACTCTCCTCCACGGTGGAGGGAGCACAGACTCTGGGCAGGGGGAAGGCAGGAAGGGAAACATCTGTGAGAAAAGTAGTTTTAAGTTCAAGTGAAAAAATCCCAGCCCAGAACCAAAGCAGCTTTGTCCTGCCCACAAACCAACATGCTCTTCCCTGTGTCCTCCTACCCGTGAGCTTGTGGTGGCAGGGAGGAGATGGAGGGAAGGGTCTACTGGGAAGGGGATTCCTTTCTGCCATTTAATTAGCAGAAAGTGCTCAAAGGGAAGTCACTGTCTGTCCTGAACCAGAAGCAGCAAATCTACTGCGATACGAAGAACTTGCATGAACTTCCACCCAACTTGCATGATGTGGAGCTGGCTGCAGTTGGCAAGGAACCTGCTGCATACCAGGACATTTTGTCCAAGGGCTCATTCCTGTGTAAATGAGAAGTATTTTGTGTAGCCCCCCCATCCATCAGCTCGATTCTAGCTACCCAAAAGCACTACCTCTGCTCCCTGTTAAGGAATCAAGATACCTCATCCAAAAGCCTTGCAAAACCAACGGAAGCAAGGCAGGTGAGTGCAGGGAGTCAGCGAAGGATGGGGTTTGAGCCCCCCGAAGGCATCAAAATGACAAAGAAGCGCCTGCTACTTGGGTTGCGCCAACGCAATTCTGACACTGGATACATCAACAGGTCCTGAGACAGAGCTAGAGCCAACAAACTGCAGGAGACCTTCAGGGACATCTTGTCAGTGAGATCCCCTCTCACCGGATCTCAGCCACCTATCTATCGCTTAACCCACCCGAGCTGTGCCAGCTCCCCCTCCGCTCAGTGAGGACACAGACGGACATCACACGTCTGTCCTGTGACAAGGGGAGACCTCATCGCGCTCTACAGCTACCTGAAGAGAGGTTGTAGCGAGGTGGGGGTTGGTCTCTTCTCCCAAGTAACCAGCGATAGGACGAGAGGAAACGGCCTCAAGTTGCGCCAGGGGAGGTTTAGACTGGACCTTAGGAAAAAATTCTTTACTGAAAGAGTGGTCAGGCTTTGGAACAGGCTGCCTGGGGAAGTGGTGGAGTCACCCTCCCTGGAAGTATTTAAAAGACGTGTAGATGAGGCGCTTAGGGACGTGGTTTAGTGGGCATGGTGGTGTTGGGTTGACGGTTGGACTTGATGATCTTAGAGGTCTTTTCCAACCTTAATGATTCTATGATTCTATGATTCTAAGTCACACCCAGGAGCTGCTGGAGGATGGTTCATACTGGAAAAGTCATTTCTTTTGGTGGTATCATGGATTATAAACGTCCTCTGTTTTATCACAGGGAACACAGCTGAGCATCTGGCTGGCAGAAAACATCAAACATGTAAAACAGGGTGCCGTGCTACGCGGGATAGAAAGGATTGTGATCGTTTTAGAGACCACCTTTATTTTTCCATACCAATATAGCATGAAACCTCAGCATGGCACGATCAGACACAGCTTAGCCTCAGCATGCTGCCACAGACGATAAAAAGGATCACTTATGTAAAAATATGTGTGTGCTGCAGGTAGGACAGCCTTCTATTTATCCAAGAAACCTAGCAAAGGCCGGGAAGCTGGGACTGAAGCCAAGGGCGAAGACCAGAATCTGGACGATACCGCTGTGATTGCTTATCACTCTGCTTGATACCTGGCTTACCAAAAGCAGATTTTTCAGTTCAGCTGTACCTGCCTTCAATGAAAGGATTTTGTGCCTGCAACACTAAGGGAAATAGCATGCACAATGTACAAAGCCAGGAGGTGCAGTGCTGCTACGGAATAAAGAAGCTTCTGTGACCTTCAAGAAAAATTGCTGTGTTAAGTTGGAACCTCAGGCACTTGGCATTGAATTCAGTTCAGTGCAAATGCTAATTTTCTTTCTCCTTCCTCAGCCAAGTTGCTGTATCTCCAGTCAAATTCTGCACTCACTTAGGAAAACGCTGCACCACTGTCGCCTTCGCAAGAGCAGGTCTGCAGGAACAGCTCTGGCACCAAAGACTTCGTTGAGATCACTGAGTTTGTCCTGCTCCTCTCCATTTCTTGATTGCTTTGTTAGCAGTGGTTAAACTCATGAAAGGAACAAAGCTCGTTCCTCAAGCATAGCCTGAAGTACGAAGTCTTTCTGTCACAGAAACCCAGGACCTTTCCGTGACCACTGCTGTGCCTCCTCTTCCTAAGAAGTCAGCTGCAAGAAGAGGAAAGCCCTGGCCAGGACATCTGATGCACAGAACTGGACACAGAAACCCCAGGATCTAAAAGCTGGATGTGAGCCATGCTGGACTGGTTCAATTCAAAGACCAGTGGGAAGAATCCCAAAACCCACAGTATTACCTGAGACCTAATAACCTGGCATGTTTGGTTGTTTCCCCTCGCTGCTCTCCACGTTAAAGGAACCTGGTGGATTTGGTTAAGTCGCTTATTCCTTCTGATTCTGCTCGACAGC